CCTACACAAATGAAAATTGCACAATTAAAAAAAATTAATTAAAGATTGACAAAAATTAAAAGAATTGATTGCTAGAATTTCATGAAGAGAGCTTCAAAACAATACAGCTAGCACGCTACAATGGTGTTGAAGTCAAATCAACCCGACACCATGAATAATATTGTACATAAAAGTTCTTATCTAATAACTTTAGATAATAACTTTTAGAAAAAAAAGACGATTTCCTATGCTATATCAGAATTCAGTATCATGGTTCTATCATCGAGATTCTAATTGTAGGGCATGATTATCTCTCCATTAATTTCCTTTCTTCCAAACTATACAAAGTAGACTGACTTTTGTGGCTCTCCGTGATGCCATTTGAGAAGGAGCAAACAAGCTCTCTGAAATATCATTTTCTAAATAATGCAAAATTTCTGACCTTTCTTGGCCGTAACAACGGGATAGCTTCAACTTGGAGTCCCGGTAAGAATCCCACAGTCAGCAGGACACCAAAGCCTGAATTTTTTGATGCAGCATCAGCCCAAAAATCTTCTAACATAACCTGCATGCAAATTTGTTGATTACCAACCCAAGAATTCATAAAACCTTTCATCTTTCTTAAGAACAAGAGAAGAAAAAATGTTAAAAAGCGGTGACCTCTTGATGTTCATCAGTAGCAGCATCTCTTCCTATGATTCCATTTGCACAAGACACAATAATTGGAGTTTTTGAACCAAGTTTCGCTGCTAACTGCAACATATACCATACAGAGTAACATAGAATTAGATTAACAAATAAAAAGGAAGAAGTGGAAGTAGAAGAAGGTCAAAAAGAGTTAAAACTAAGAAGAATAAAAAAGAGACATCAAAATATTATTAACTTGTGTTATTTTGTAGCTCGAGTAAACATTAACCCCTCTTCCAAGGGCTTTAGGATCGAGTTTTTCCTTCGTAACAAGAAATAAAAAAGCAAAGTTTACTGATAAATCTTACAAAATTGAGGGTTTCACTCAAATCAACACCACTCCCAATAACATTTGCAATGGCAAACTGGGGTCTAATGGGCTCGGAGAGAACCTTATTCACAACCTCTTGTGATGCAACCTGTTTGATCATCATGAATTAAAACGCACTCAAAGTCAATTCAAGTTTGAGATTTACCATAAAATATAATGGCATTTGTAGGTTTTCATTCGAAGGCCCAACAAACCTTCTGGTCTGGGTTGAGAGAAAAGGCAGAAGCAAGCTTTGGTTTGGAGAGGATTTGATTGCAAGTTTGGTTCCATGATTTGCAAACACAAGCAGCTGATGCAAAGGATGAAGCTGGTGTTCTCTTCAGAATGTTTTGAACAAGGTCTTCGTTTAATGACGCAAAGCCTGTCAATGGCGTTCTTGCTTCTTTAGGTTTCTTCTCCATTAATTGATAGATATCAGTAATGGTGCAACTGATGCTTAACCTCAACGTGAGGGGTGCCAATATATGGAGAGCTCAACAGGAAGTCAATTGCTAACAGTGAAGTCTCCGGCCAATAATCAACTTGGAAGGGACTGGAGGGATCAACAAGCGCGTATGAGGGCACCCATCAGCATTCACATAATTTTTTTTAGGGTTGACTCTTCTTTCTTTCTTTTTTATGATGTGTAAAGGTGTGTTTGTTCTCACGAATAAAAGCATGAATTTCATGATCTTACTGCAGTGCATCACAAATCAGCTGCGAAGCTAAAATAACATCATTTTTTTTTTCTTTTCAAGCAAGCTTGAATATCCTTAAAATGATTTAACTATATATTTACTCTAATACACATTTATATATATTATAGATCTTGAGTATAATATAATGACATTACATGCGATAAATATTCATTTTTTAAAGTAGTTAAGTGTTATTATATACGCCTTAAAATATTGAAATTATAAAAAAAAAAATACATTAAAATATGTGAGAAATATTTCATATATCATAATATTAATTGATTGATATCGAAAGTTAATTCTCGTATGAATCAAAAACCTAAAATGGCTTCCAAAACAACTTTGAATTCTTATACATCGATCAAAGGGAGACTTGAACGATGGTCTCCAAGTGTATTAGTTGTTTGAAACGTGAACAGTTGGGCCTCAGATTCAATATTGGACATTATTGATCAGGGACCAACCAAAATAGACCGTTGACATCCTGTAAGACTAGAAAAGTCGTTCGCAATAATGGTGTAGACATATAATTCAGGAAAGAGAAAGGTCTGATTCTCTCAATACACATAAGGTCACAAATAGTTGTGGATGAGGATTTGGACTTCGAATTAATTGAGGAAAAATAAGGGAAGAGCATGAAAGATTTGACTGTTAGAATTGATTTGAGAAGCGATCCATCGTTTACAAGGTTGCAAGAAGGCAGTCAGAGGATCGTTTGTTTGAATTCTGTATCCAGTCTTGGCCTCTTTTGATTTTGCTTGTTTACAGCCGTAAGTATCAGATTGTCTGTCAATTTTTGCAACAGATGCTTTGGGTGCAGTTTAACCTTAACATTATTTTTTGAAAGCCAAGTTAACTCGAATTTAATTTCAAATAGACAATTCAGGCTCAAATATCATCATTCATCTACATTTATTAAATTTGGTGTGGTTTAATATTTTTATCCAAAACTCAGCTGATTAGGTTTTTAGTTTAGGCCTGATATTAAAAAAAATATTAACTTATAATTTACATGGTTATTTCACTTCCTAAAACTTAAGAGATTGTTATTTTGATTCACTCAGCTCAACTCATCCAACTAGTAATCCAGGCTTTGATATAGGTTAGTGTCGAGTTTAAGACATCACATTCATCCTTCTTTAAAGACCGACCCTCCCTAGTTTAAAGCAAATATCATCATCTATCAACAGTTATTAAACTCGGCTTGTGTCGTCATGTTGATCTAAGATCTGCTAACCTAGTCCCTGGTCTAGGTCGAGTGTTAAAACAAGTTAAGCCAAAATTAATTTAATTTGAACCAATTAACTTAATATGACTATTTATAGTCTGATCTGCTTAATTAAAATCCAGTTTAATTTTAAAAAATAAAATAAAATAACATAATATCATTAATTTATTAAAGTCAACTTGAATAAATTCACCTAACTCATGATTAAGGGTTTGACCAAGGTTATAAATTAAACTGGTTTTAATAAGTTTATATTCATACTTATTTGAAGATATTTTAAAATAATTTTTATTTAATTTTAATATAAAAAATATTAATTTAATATTTTTTTAAGTAAAATATACTTTTAAAATGTATTCAAGTATATTTCTAAATTAAAAAAAAAATCTTTAGTAAGGAATTAGTCTCCCTTGTTCAAAGCAAAATGAAGACGTACAAGTCATCAAGTTCTATCACACTGTCCCTAGCTTCAAAAATTAGTTAAGAGGTCATAATTTTGTTTTGGCAAATCTCAAAGAAACCCCTCGACTATTGGATTGTCATCTTTTAGCTGCAAGCAATTTTGATTTCGTCAATTGAAGCCTTCTATCAAAATTCTTTAATAAAAAAAAAACCAACAACAACCACAATTTTGATGGAATCTGCTATCAAATATGGATGGAAATACTTGGTTAAATTTTTAAAAAACTATAGGCGACACAATTGCTATCCACATGACTCTACCTGGTCCAGATTTGTAGTTTTGTGCAATTTGGCAGGAGCAACTTCCCTTTGCACCTAAGACAATAGTGGTGGGGCTCGATCCTGGTGGATATGAAAGAAAGTGTGACTACTGAGAGAGATTTTACCACTTTTCCAGATGGACTCATAAGATATTTTTGCATCAACTACTGGAAGCAAAGCTGAGGCAGATAGGATTTTTTTTTTTTTTTGGCTTGAATCAGTTTTGGTGGTCTCAACCTGAGCTCAAAGCATCACAAAAAACAGAACCCAAATCTTCACTTCTCGGACCAAAACCAAGATTTCTATCAGCAAGCATGGAAACCTCTTCAGTTCTGTCACTCTCTCAGCTCTCTTTTTTCTTACCGAAACCTTACAGGAACAAAGCTTATCCTTCTTGGCCATGCAAGATACCAAGAACCACTCAACCAACTCGCTTGTACTGCCAAAAGATGTATGTCCCTGGTGGGTGTCACACAGAGAAATATACATCTTTGTGTTTCTTTATCTTTTTTAAGTCTTAATTGTTAGATGTATTATGTAGGATTTGGAGAAGCATCACCAGAGAAAAAGGCAGCAAAAAACCTGCATGATTTCTTCACTTACATTGCTGTTAGAATTGTCACTGCACAGCTGGAGGTTCCTCCTTTCCTTGCTGCTGAAGTCTCATCTGTTTTGTTTATAAGCTTACGATTGTTTATTTGGATGATTTCATCTGTTAACAATTATTTCCCAGAGCAGAGCTATAGCCCCGAAGCATATGAAGAGTTGATGGAGTTTTTGAATAGGCATTCCTTGAATGATGGAGACAAATTTTGTGCTGAACTGATGAGGGAATCTTCTAGGCATAAGGGTTTGGGTAATGCTATCCACACATCTCTTACTGGTTCTTAATTTTCTATTTCTGTTCTTAATTCTTCCTCTCTGACATTATATCCTTTTTTCTCTCAAACGTGCCCAAATCCTATGATTCAAATTACAACATCATGTCCACATTACAGCTATGCGAATCTTAGAGGTCAGCACACTTTTTATTCTTGTTCAAAATTTCATTTTTTTAATCCAGAAATGCCAGCCACATCTGCATGTATTGATCAACAATAATCTGAATCTATGGCAAGCTGCTGTAGGTTCGATCTGCGTACTGTAAGAATGATTTTGAGTGGGACAACTTGAAGAGATTATCAGTGAAGGTCAGAATTCAGTCATTTTGTTTCTGATGCTTCTTGCCATTGATAAATGATGGTGGATAACTCTTCTTATTGTTTCGTGGTTCTTTGGCCTCTTTTTTACAGATAGTTGATGAATCAAACACAAGGATCATGAGAGATTATGTTGTCGAAACAAGCCCCACTAAAGAAAGTGAGAAGTGATCAATCTATATTCACCAGTTGTTGTATCTGTCTGAATCCATCCAGTGTTCTGGCCTGATTACACCATATACCCATGTTATGCAATAGAAATATCCTTCTGATATGAGCTATGATAGCCATTCGAATGGTTAAGGTTCCAAAGTACGATCGCAGGCGTTGGAGACCAAATTATTGTAACATATGAACACAAGAGTTAATTAATGAAGATTACGCTAGATATCTTTTTAATGTAATGCTTTCTAGTAGTCAATCCGTATACATTGTTGACATTTTATTGGTTTCTTTTTCCACATAAAAAGGAAATTGCAAAACAAATATACGAAGTTACAGAAACAAACACAGGAAGTGAAGCAACAAGAAAGACGTCTTCTGTCAACCTGGAACAGAGTGCGGCATCTTCTTGAACCTAATTTGATCAAAGCTCATCCAAGACCATGAATTGAGCAAGACATGAGCTTCCCTTCCTTTGTATTCTTAATAATCAACAAATGCAAGAACTAACTAAACTGGAAGCAAAATTATGTACTGGATGTTTGTCCTGCAAAGTTAATCTGCAGTCGCCTCATGTTCCTTCTGTGGCTACAGACAATAACCAAATCAGAGAGGGTAAACAAAATGAGGGTTTATTGTTTATTGAAAACACAGATGATTCCATGATTGACTAGCTCATACATCGAAAATGAAGAATCATGCTATATATGGAAAACATGTTACCATGGTATAGAGGCGAATGTCACTCGAAGCATGTATATGCCCAGTGCTGAAATATGATTAAGCATATTCTTCAATGTGCTCCACCCTGCAAGTCATTTTCAATATATCATGTCATTTGAGGTTGAAACTTAAGCGAAATAAGAAATTATCAACCACAAATCCATTAAAAAATGTCAAAAAATACCAATTCCTTTTGTAGCAAATTATCAAGACAAGGTACTGTTACTGGTTTGATTATGGGGCAGGTCTTCTAGGTAAAAGCTGTCAAATATTAGATCTAAGGAAGCACAGACACGAATACAAGCTATAGGTAAGACATGATACGGATACGTTGGTACATCAATTCTTGAGAATTTAGGATGTGATACATTGTGGATAGGGAATTATACCAGCAATGTTCATCAATTATTGTCCATCTATAGTAAGTACATTAGTTTAATATAAATTCAAACATGCAAAATATTATTTTTTTCAATATAAGAATGGATGAAACAGCACTAAAGAAGTAACAGGGAGGTCCCAGATATATTTATGGAAGCATTTTTTAAATATCCCAAGTATCCAAAAGGAATTACAATTTTATTAATTTTGAATGCGCTTTAGAAGAATTTCATACGTATCTAGAAATACTGGATCATTTATCGAAATGGAAACAGGCTCGATACGGAAATGTGAGGGATTTTGAAGCATCTGTGCTTCATAGGTTAGATCTAATCCATTCTGTGAGTATTATATGTGGAACCAGCCTTTCCTTTGTTCAATCATGCACAATATGAAAACAATGCTGGTTTTGTGAAGAGAGTCACCTGTACATGTAGTTTCACCATGATACATCCACCTTGACGAAGACCTTTCTCAGACCGGCCTGCCATCCAATTTAATCTTTCAACCATCTGTTCCACATTGCAATACATAACTTCAGTGTTCATAAATTTTTCAACCTGGAGATCATTTTGTTTCTAATCTTCCCAACTTTCAGATGACAAATCACATAAAATCACTGGGAGCATGTTCAAACTCTACATCTGCAGGTTTCAAAATCAACCCAGGATGAAAAAATAAACAAAAAGAAAATATAATACATTAAGTGAGACCACACCGGGTCTGCCAGTAGATGTGGTTGCTAAAAGTGATTCAATTCCTAATTTACAAAATTAAGTTCAGATGATATACCGCTCCATTTTGCAAGTGAAAATTTGCCACAGAATCTAGAGCTTTTCCTCCCTCCTTCTCTTGGAGAAGGTACCTGCAATAGCATTTCATAAAATGAAAAAATCAAGGCTTTATCCAACAACTGAGAAATATAAGGCCACCTCCAACACACCCGGTTATTAGACCTCTGTGTCACTTACTACACATGACCTGTCATTTCTATGAAACAAATAGAACAACTTTATGAGGAAGTGTTCTTTGTACGTAAGGAAAAGGAAGTTACAATTATATGCACCAAAGGCAGAGAAAGTTACAATTTCAATCAATACTGTATGTTGCTTCAACTGCCATGCCCAGAGAAAGTTACAATTTCAATCAATACTGCCATGCCTCGTGACAATTTGGTTCATTTGACAATTTCAATTAGAAATATAACCTTTTGCAGGGGATTCAAAGCCCCTGGCCAGCAGTTTCATTAGAGTTAAATGTTAAAGTTCTCTTGCCTGGCACACAACCGCATTAGAGGGGGCTTCAAGGCGCAGAGTAATTCAGCTGAACTGGTCCACTCATAGCTCGTTGATGTCAGCATGTTCAGCATCACTTCCATGCCATTTTTTCCAGCACAAGTCTCCCTACAGACTGAAGTGTGTTATCCATCTATAGCATTTTGATGCAAGTTCTTAATTAGTCGTAGTTTTAAGAAATATAAGAGAAGCAACTGTTGATACTATGATGAGACTATGATATCATGATGATTGGCCCAAGATGACCTTTGAGATGTCATGTACAAAAGCACTGCAGTTTTGAGGAAAACAGAGAGCAACAAGGATCATGTATCCATATTTTATCTGCTGGAGACTGGACCTGCCACCTTTCAATGTCGTTCAATGAGATTCTTACAGCTTCTTTCAACACAAAGGTAATCTTGGACCAATCATCATGATATCAAGCAAGTGTTTAGTAATGAGATACAGAAGAGATATAGAGTTTAAAATAACAAACTCATTTTTCAATCCATTTTTCTTTGATTTTTTATGGATTTTTTATGGTTTTTTTTCCCCTTATTCAGCAATATTTTTAAGCAAGTGTTTGGTAAGGAGGTATAACATGTTTTTGGCAAAGTTTTACATAATATTTTTAAGCAAGTGTTTGGTAAGGAGATATAACATGTTTTTGGTAAAGTTTTTCATTTAAAAATATATTAAAATAACATTATTTTTTTAATTTTTTATTTTATTTTTTTATATCAATATATAAAAATCACCGAAAAAACAATTAAAATACATTAATTTAATACCTAAATTACTTTTAAAAAAATATTTTGAAAAACAAGTCAACTAGAAAACAAACCACTTAATAAATTTGATTTATATTATATTAATCTTCAATTCTTTTGATTTAAAGTATGGTTTTCAAGAAACTATGAGTGCTGTGTAACCATTTACTAGTTTTACTCAAAGGTTGCAGCTGCAATAATTCTTTCTAATCCTTAATGTTTTTTATTTGTTCAATCTAGTTTCTACTATTTGAATACAAACATTAGCATTGAATGTTTTGTTTGTCATCTTGATCTGGTTATGTGACTGTATCTTCATTCCCGACCAATTGATCGATTACTTTGGATTTCTAATTTTTTTATAATGCTCATTTATTTATTTGAAATATGTCTTTCAATAATTAAGATGAAATTTGTGATTTACATATCTTTCAATAATTAAGATGAAATTTGTGATATACATAAAATCAAATCAAGCAATTCAATTCATATTTGTAATTGAGAAAGTTTAGTTTGAAAACAATAAATTCATTCAATTTTATTTTATTTATCCTATATTAAAATATTAAAATTTAATTACAAAAGACATAAATATAGTTTTAGTGATTTATAAAGTTCTTGAAAAAACAATAAAACAAAACTAGGAGTAATCCTATATTAACCAAAGCTAAAACAAGAGGGATTTCTACTCTAGCTTACAAGTAGAACAATGTTTTCATGATTCTACCTCTCATTCTAAAACTTATGACCTATGCTTGATTTGATAAATTTTCTATTGTGATTTTGTTTTTTAGCTTTATTTTTAGTTGTCATGATTCTGTTTTTTTATTAAATGCATTGATACAGGTCGTATCATTCTATTTTTATATTTTGATGACATAATTATTAATAGTAATGATATTGATGGTATTTTAGTGTTGAATACAAAGTTGGTTAGACGATTTGAAATGAAAGATTTAGGTTATCTTTAATATTTTCTAAGTATTGAGGTAGTGTACTCATTTAGAAGTTCTCTTTTTTCTCAATCGAAATATATTGCAGATATTCTTGAGCGGACTAGACTTACTGATAACAAGACTGTAAATACACCTATTAAGGCTAATGCAAGGTACTCTTCTTCTCATGGTTTACATCTAATAGATCCTATTTTATATCGTATTATTATTAGGAACTTAGTATATCTCATTGTTACTCATTTAGATATTGCATATATTGTTCATATTATTGGTTAGTTTGTTGCTTCTCCACTACTATTCACTGGACAACTATTCTTCGTACTTTGTGATATCTTCGAGGTATAATTTTTCAGAGTCATTTACTTTCATCCATCTCTTCTTTGGAGTTGCGTGCATACTTCAATACTGATCATGGTAATGATTTTATAAATCACAAGTTTGTTACCAGATTCTGTATCTTTTTAGGTGATTCTCTTATTTCGTAGAAGAGCGAGAAACAGTTTATTATTTCTTAATCATCCACCAAAGCAAAATATCATGCCATGACATCTACTACACAAAAGATTGTTTGGTTATGTTGGTTACTTGTTGATACTTTGCCTTTTGTTCCTTTTTTCTTGTAGATTGTTGATTTCTTTACCAAGGCACGTTCTATCTCTCACTTTTTTTTTCTAGTTGGCCAACTTTCAATGCTTGTAGTTGTCGTATCATAAAGTTTGAGGGGAGATGTTAAATAATATTTATATAAACTTATTTATTAAGGATAGAATAATATTTTCAGTTTAACCTTTTTTTTTTGTATTTAGGTTAAACTAAGTATTCATAATAAACAGATTATTGAGAATTCTAACTTTATTTTTATATTTAATCTTACTTATTTTAACACTATTATCATCTAGGGTTTGATTCTTTTAGAAAGATATAACAAAATAATTTATTATTAATGAATCAATTTAGTGGTATAAATGGCTATTTTAGGATCTAAAAGGAAGGGATCTAGTTTTAAAACGTGAAAGTTAGCCTAAAAACATCATTATTGGGGGAGGAGGGGATTGATGATAAAAATCTAGTGATAAAAAAGGGATGATGATAAAAAAAAAAAAAAGAGCCATGATGATAAAAATCTAATGATAAGAGTTGTTATCACCTTTAGCTTAAATGATAAATGATTATATTTTTTATAAAATTTAATGTATTATTTTTATCTTTAATACGATGATAAAAATCTTAAAAGCTTAGTATCAATCATGGGTGGATTCGCTACTAGCTAGTAAATTATTAGTTTGTTATTTTTTTAATTTATCTTTATTTTTATTATTACAATTAGGTAATATTTTTTAATAAATAATTTTTATACTTAATAAATAAATTTACCTTTTAAATTTGCAGGTAGAGTAAGACAATCAATAATCACACTAACGTGTTTGGTATTGTGATAACTTTTGTAGTTGTAGTTTGAAAAAAGTTGTTTTATAAAAATTAATTTTAATTGAGATTAGTTTGGTATTTATATATATTTAGTCAAAACTGTAGTTGAAATTAAGGTTAAATAAAAAGTAGTTTAATATGTGTTTGGTTAAACATACTTCTTAAATTGAGGTTATAAAATAACTAAAAAGATATATATTAATATTGATGGTTTTTAATTTAAATATTGTAAATTTAACTACTACTATTACATCATTAAATAAAAAATATTTTATATCAAATATTTTTAATTGTTCCACTAACTTATCTACAATTTCATCACATATGAAATTCATCATAAAAACTATAGTTTTTATAGTTTTTTTAATGTGCAATAAAATTAGGTAAAATATCATTAGAAACAAAATTAAAATTACGATCAAATTCTACAAATGTTAAGTCATCATGCGAACTCCTTTTAATTTATATAGTGTTATTGAATAATATTAGATACTAATTTTTGAGTAAAACATAATTAAAAAAATAAAAAAAAATCAGATCGGACATAATTCAATAAACAATGAAGTCACTATTTATATAAACAATAACTGAATTAATTTACTTTCCACTATTCCTATAAATAGTGCCAAGTGAATTAATCCACTCGACAGGGTTTAGATAATAATGATTGCTAAAGAAATATAAATTGAGTGGGCCTTGAGTTTTTTCTTTCTCTTAGCAACATACAGGAAAAAGTAAAAAATAATAATTTTTTGTTTTATTAAAACCGGTGCAAACTTAATTTTTAATGAAACTATCTTTAAAATTTATATTTAAAATATTTATCAAATAGTTAGAAATTGTGGTTGTAACACAACACAGTTCCAACCACAATCAATAATTTTTATACTTAATAAAATTAAAAAATTACATGTGGATTGTTTAAAATAAGTTGGCAGAGTATAGCACCCACACAACATATTTTTGCATATTTAACCAGCTACACATAATTAATTAAATTGTTGGCATGCATGAGTTTAAAGCAAAACTAGAAATAATAAGTTTTATACTCTATATTATTTCACAAAAAATGTTTGTAGACAGCTATTTTCAACCTCAAAAGTATGGTGCTCATGTGTTCTCCTACTTTTAATTCATATCTTATAATTCATGAAAATGACAAAAACTAGGTGGATCTTTGCCAGCTGTGGGATTCTTTGCCTCCATTCTTGCATTAAAAAAAGGTTGAATGAATATATACAATAAAGTTCTGTCACTTGAATTCAGCATATATAACATATATAGTTCAGCATCAACCGACTTTGCTAACAATTACTTTTTCTCTGCCTTCTATAAAAGTTATTAAATCTGTATAGTTCATGATGGGCGGATTAATTTGAATCAATCAAAACAACAAAATAATGTTATTTTAATTTTTTTAAATGATTAAAACAAAATCCTTTTTATTTTATTTTTAAAAAATAATTATCATAAGCTCACCCACCACAACAATTAAGTTGCTCCAAATAAATTTTAATTTGTTTTTTTTTAACCAAGTGTATACTAGGTTTAGATTGACCCGCTAAATTATGCCAGATTTACTAACAATATTGCCTAATATTATCTCAAGTCATTGTTGATTGAGGGTGTCTCAACACCCGACTAATTTGGAAGAAAACATTATGACTTGTCATTTACAATGGAAGATGGAATAAAATCTGCATAATATTATCTCCTGAATTGTTTGTATAGAGTTACTGTGGTTTTATAATTTGGATGGTCAATTTAATAAATTAACCTGGTTTAGTTAAAATCAATATAATATATTATTATTTTAATAATATTTTAAAAAAATATTGTCTTGAATTTTTATGAATCAAATAATATTTTTACCAATTATCTAGATTATCTTTAAATCCATCAAGATAATTAGGTGAATCAAGTCAACCTTTATGTAATTTAAAAAAAAAATATTAGAAAAATATCAACAATACCTTTGATGTTTCTTTTGTATGTTGAAAAAAATCGATTTGACTTGCATCATAGCATGAGTCAACAGTCTAGTAATTATAAAAAATACTGAAAAAAATCAATTTTTTATTGTGACTCTAAATATAAAAGATTATGAATTAGAACAATGTAAATACATTGTTACCCTTGCCAAAAAAAACTTAGACTTGAAATTAGGGATATAATTGTCTTTTCTAAATGAGATATTCATTATTACAAAATTGACTGGGAACAAAATGAACTGGAAATGTTTTTTTTTAACAATGTGATGACTAT